TAGTACACACTGCACCAGTGATACTGTATGTATGATACACTGCACTGGTGAAACTGTATGTATTACACACTTCTCAAGTATTTATGTAGGTGGTTCATAATGCACCAGTTACAATATTGTATAATATACATTGTACAAAAGGTAATCTTTATTTTATACATTAGGCCAGAGGTAATGGATGAAAGTGTATCAGGAGTAATGTGTATTTTGACATACAACTGCACTGTACAGACACAATAATTGGTAAACAGACATGGTGCCTGATGATTATTTGAATATCACTATTCAGAAATGAGGCAAAAACTTTCTTTGGCATCATATAACAATTAGTAACATTGGATGTGGATGAAAAGATGACTTTCTTAAACTATCTGCTCAGTTTAATGCTGTTGGTATTCAATATAATAATAAAAGCCTCAGTTTTTATATATACATGCATATATATTTTCTTCTATTTACCAACAAAGTTTCATTCCTGCATGATGTAAATTTTCAAACAGCCAATTGCACATACTTCTTGTTGCGTAAATAAACCTTTCATGTAAAATAAAAACAACCTATAGCAATATAATAATATACTAAATTCTATTTTTCAATATCAATATATCACCAACGTCTAGCAGTGAAATATTTGCTTGTAATAAATTTATAAAGAAGTTATCCGACACTTGACACGAACACACTATATCACAGAGCTAGTAATACAAGTCAAGTGTAAGCACTGCATGAAATAAAGAAATTATATCATTTATATAAATAGTGACAGATGGCACGGATTCCTTTAATGACTAGCTAATTCTCTGTGCTATTAAACAGCGAAAAAAACCACCAGTAACATTATACATGTACATAGTACATGATTGTGTGTGACTAAAGGAATTGTTTTTATACTTACATTTGACAATTCAGTATACTTCAAATAAAAAGAGTGATTCTACTTCTCATAACCTAAGGACATACGACTATCTAACATTTGACAATTCATTATACATCAGATAAAGAGAGCTTAAATCTACTTCTCATAACTTAAGGACAAATGCTACCTTAAGTGCTTCTGCTTTCTAAAAGACTTCCACACGAGTCTGACCAGTTGTTAAAATCCTGATCACCTTGATGCAAATGTTAAATACCCAATTTTTGTGAAATCTCTGAAAACCTACATATATTTTGCATTATTTATCTTACGATGGATCCCTATAACTGTAGTTTTAGTTTCAAATTTAAATTTGTTTTGAAATATACAGGATTAAAGCTTCGTTTTAAATTGTAGTTAAAATGACCAAGCTTTTAACAACTGGCTCCAAATGATTTTCTAATGAAAATGTTTTAAAGGGGCATAACTCTTACACAAATAACATTGAAATTGCAACGAAAGCCAAGATTTACAACAGTAGCGACAAGCTGAATACATTTAACATCCACATTTTACCCTTTTAATTCTACATAAATATTTGTTAATATCCCAACAATATACGTGACATACATGTATAAGTTGTTAATGAATGAAACAGTGTTTGATGTCATAAATATTTGTAATAGCACTAAAATGATGCTTCATGGGGTGAGGTATAATTCTCCAATTTTTTTTGCATTTTGCTTACAATGTGTGAATTCCTTGCCAGTAATACTCAGAATGCATTCAATGTATGATTGAAATACAAAATTTAGCTTTCTGAAATTAAAGCACTTACAGAATAGGAATGAATAATTTACAAATTATAAAATAAAATAAGAGAACCTGTATATTCCTATAACATTTTATACAAGAGGCATATAGGGCCCCAGTCACTCACCACTTTCATTTTTATTCGAATTTTACAAAAACCTTTGAGATAATGGTGGCCATTTACATTTTCTGGATCAAACATTTTAAAAAAACAACTGGTAAGGTCAATGACAGGTAGTTTTTTTTGTATTTTTTTGTTAAGTTTAATCAAGTGGAATTGAGAATTGGTTAGAAGTGTCTCATCCAATTGGAAGACAGGGTGGCCATTTTATATTCCAATTTGCCCAAAATATAAAACCTGTTCAGGACCAGGAGAGCCTAATTCCTAAAGAGTTTCACTACATTCACTAACATTGGCCTGTTTGGAAGTTGAGAAGTGGAAAATGTCTCGGCCAATTAAGAGACAGTTGACCAATGATGTTAAATACGGTACAAATATTAACAACACTTATTCACGGTCGTGAGAGAAACATTTGAATACGGTTTGGTCAAATTTTGCCTAAAAAAACTGAGAAGTTGAATGTGTCTCAGGCAAAGCTGCAATCTTGGATTTCAAATCTGATAGAAATATAAAAATGGCCATGGAATGATGATTTTTTGTTAACATCTGCCCAATAGAATGGAGTAGTCAAAAATACTTTTGTCCCTATATCCCCTAATGAGCTAAGCCCCTCTGCCAAAAAAGGGAGCCACATCCTTCTGTATACAATATCAATCTCCATTGAGGTCCAAATTCTTTTACCAAAACTTGAAAGGTGGTCTTTTAAATATCAACCAACCCACTTCCATGTTACATTTTGGGTGCCTTTCCCTACCAAAGGGTCGGGCAGATGATTAACATTTGATCTATGACAGACGTTGTGCCATGGCGTCAGCTCACTTGGCGCTTCAGGCCAGAGAGCTAAAATATGATGTTTAATATGAGTTATGATTCTATGTACAAAATAATGCCACAAAGTGATGACAGCTAAACCCTACTATGTAGTACATTGTTTATGATCTGTTTGTGTTCCTGTTATGTTTACATATTTTCTCCAAGATTCAAGGTGTTCTTGTCATATCTGACCACAAACGGTTTGTGTAATATCCTTAGCAAGGAGGCACCTTTTTTTGGCTAATCCAATATTGTATAGGTAAACTGGGTTTTTTTCATGATAGGAACAAAGTTTTGTTCATTTTTCCTGGAGTGTTAGTGTACTTGTGATACTGTCTATATATACGGGAGGTATACAGCGTTAACTCCTCGTCATATCCTTGGCTTTGATCTGTCATTTGTTACAGTCTTCTTTAGGTTCACTGCTGCAAATTTAGGATTTCTTCTGAAGCTGCAATGAAAGAAAATAGATTCCAAATAATTTCCTGGGCTAACACCTCCACAGTTTTCATATGTTACATGAACCAAACTTAACGAATTAAAACCAATCTAACTCAATATTTTTCATATCAAAGATTACAGTTTGTTATATTTACATGGATACCAGTATTACAATAAGCCTTCAATGCTTTGAATGACGATAATGTTGTTAAGATGAAGAAATCAATTACGCTTTGAAGTGTTGTCTGAAATCAAATTGTTGTAGAGATTCTATTAAGAGTTTGCAAAATAACAAATCAACATAAGAAATGGCTCTCAATGGAAAACAACAATTAATTGTCATCACAAAATCCTTTTTCCCCATGCAAAATGAACAGAAATATAGCTGAAATAAAATTCTCTTGATTGAAATATGGAAGATATTTCAAATTTTCTGAAAGCAAAAATGTTAATGTGATTGAAACTCTTGCAACTCACAGTTCAATCCTTTATTTTTTTTATCTTTTAACTTCTTACTCATGGTTTTACTACAAAACTGTTATACCCCCAAAATGGTACATAAATAAATACCCTTTGTCATATTAATTAGCATCACATTCTTGTAGAATTATACATCCATCATATTTTATATACATGTTTTTGAAAACAAAATACTTTTTAGAATTACTTTTCTTAAAAAATATCAATTTGAAATTACTTGTGCAACAATAATTGTATGTGGATATATTTAAATATGTTAAGTTAATTCATATCAACAACATGCACTAATTCATAACAATTATCAACACACCTCACTTCAGGTAAACAGTGAATAGGCTATAATATCAAGTGTAACACAATACACCTTGTCTGGTAACGTATATATATGTGATGATTGATGAAGATGAATATTACTGAACAAACAAAATACACAGCTATCACAAAGCCGTTTTATAGTTCTTAACATTTTCAAAGATATGCAAAATTGAAATCATAAACAATAAAACAAGGCCAAGAGGTCATATTGCTCCTGTTTTTCAGGTAAAAAAGGTGTTTTTTTACATTGGTAATTTACTTAGTTTAGCATGTAGTTTAGCATGCTAAACTTTAATTGCAGATTAATGATAACCCTTTTTTAGGGCTCAAAGGAAGCCAATTTGAATATTAAAACAAGTACAGTACATCAACATTTGTCAATCTCAATCAGTACTCATTAAAGCTTGCAACATTGACCTTTGTACCCATTAATTTCAGTATCAATTATAGCCAACAACATTGACCTTTGTACCCATTCATCTAAGTATCCATTAATCCTTATATATTGGCCTTTGTACCCATTTATCTCAGTACCAATTAAAGCCAACTACCTTGACCTTTCTGTTGATTAATATCAGTATCAATAAAATGCTAATACATTGACCTTTGTATCCATTCCTCTCAGCACCCAGTAAGCCTAATACATCGACCTTTGTACTCATTAATCTCAGTACCCATTAAGCCTAATCCATTGACCATTGTACCCATTCATCTCAGTACCCCTTAAGCCTAATACATTGATCATTGTATCCATTCATCTCAGCACCCATTAAGCTTAATCCATTGACCATTGTACCCATTCATCTAAGTACCCATTAAGCCTAATACATTGATCATTGTACCCATTCATAAACAGTACCCATTAAGCCTAATACATTAACCTTTGTATCCATTCATCTCAGCACCCATTAAGCTTAATCCATTGACCATTGTACCCATTCATCTCAGTACCCATTAAGCCTAATACATTGATCATTGTATCCATTCATCTCAGCACCCAGTAAGCCTAATACATTGACCTTTGTATCCATTAATCTCAGTACCCATTAAGCCTAATACATTGACCATTGTACCCATTCATCTCAGTACCCATTAAGCCTAATACATTAACCTTTTTATCCATTCAACTCAGCACCCAGTAAGCCTAATACATTGACCTTTGTATCCATTAATCTCAGTACCCATTATGCCCAATACATTAAACTTTGTACCCATTTATCTCGGTACCTGTTAAAGCCTTCTACATTGATCTTTGTACCCATTAATATCAGTACCTGTTAAAGCCTTCTACATTGATCTTTGTACCCATTAATATCATTACCTGTTAAAGCCTTCTACATTGATCTTTGTACCCATTAATATCAGTACCTGTTAAAGCCTTCTACATTGACCTTTGTACCCATTAATATCAGTACCTGTTAAAGCCTTCTACATTGATCTTTGTACCCATTAATATCATTACCTGTTAAAGCCTTCTACATTGACCTTTGTACCCATTAATATCAGTACCTGTTAAAGCCTTCTTCATTGACCTCTGTACCCATTAATCTCAGTTCCTATTAAAGCTTATTACATTCCCTTTTTTACCTGTTAACTAAAGAACACATCAAAACCTACTTCATTGACCTCTGTACACATAATCTCAAAACCCATCAAAGCTTACTACATTTTCAATTGTATACCAAATAGTTCTGATGATTTAAAAAAGCTTAAGTGTGAATGATGTCCCTACTTTATATAATTATTTTGAAGAATCTCAGCACCCATTAAAGCCTATTACATTTTTACCGATATACACTAAATGCCTGATAAAAAGTCTGGCCTTAACTAAAACATCATGAATGAGAACAGAAAATACCCAATACCAAAATCTAGATAGAAAGCATTCACTCTAAAACACAGAGAGTCAAAGTTCAGAGTTTGTTGACCTAGCCAGTTTACAATTTAGAACCTGATCCATTGTTGTCATACATCAGAAAAAAAGTCTCCTTTTCCTAGGCAATATAGTGACACAGATAACAGAAACTGATACTGGTTTCATCATGCAGTCAAGAAAAGTGAGTATAATGTATGTATTTATGTATATTAAAACTACTTTACATCTCAAACAGTGTATATTGGTAATTGGTCACTGAACACATATGATCCTGTCAAGTTATCTCCCTTTAATGTTTTCTTCTATGTCTGCCACACACAATGACATTCCTGATCAAACCTTGGGTCAGGAGCAGTGATCCAAGGATAACATCTTGTATAGGCTACAGTACATTTATTACCCAGATCATATTCCCGACAATATATTATAAGTGGGTTGTCTTTACACAGAAGGGGAGATAACTTCAGTACAGGCTGTATGGTGACCTTGAGCTGACTCACCCTCTGTACCATCCGAGTGACACTGACTGAACTAGACCTATGATCAGTCACAAACAAACAGTCATTAACACAATCATACGCTCACATAAATGAATTATACCTCACATCAGTGGAAGGTAACCCAGCCAAATGTAATCAATTAAAAAATGTAAAAATTTAAAAGCAGCAAAATATTTCTGGTTTACCATGAAAGGATAATGTATAAAGATAATGAATAAAAATGATGTATAATTAAATGTTAAAAACATGTGTATTTTATAATAAAACTTTAAATTTACTCTACATATATAAGTGACATTAAATGATAATTTCTTTTTTCTTTCAAATATTCTTTCTAAATCTGATCATGTATAATCTGGAAACTTGTATAAACCAGTTCGATAATCCAGTCTTGGTTGTTTATAATAGAAAAACTGGTCCCAGTGGAGATGAAACAAGTTTTAGAGCATTGGTATTTATATTGCATTGCAGATAGTTACTTGGTAAAATTACATGATATAACAAGAAAAGGTCAAAGGTAGGAATGCTAACATTTAATTGCATTATTCCTGTAATCATGTAAGCCAGTACCACAGTAACATTATCTAAGAAATTGGATGCAGCATGCAGAAGTAGATTACCATCATATATATATAGATGCAGGTGAGGTACTTACATCATCAGTATAGACATAGGTAGAGTATGCAATATTTCACATCCATATTGATCTAGGAACTAAAAGCTGGTCCTGATTTACTTTGTTAGAGAGTTATGATAATATGTCTGTAATACACTGTACAGGGGATTATACAATATGTCTGTAATACACTGTACAGGGGATTATATAATATGTCTGTAATACACTGTACAGGGGATTACACAATATGTCTGTAATACACTGTACAGGGATTATTCAATATGTCTGTAATATACTGTACAGGGATTATACAATATGTCTGTAATATACTGTAAAGGGGATTATACAATATGTCTGTAATACACTGTACAGGGATTATACAATATGTCTGTAATATACTGTACAGGGGATTATACAATATTTCTGAGATTACACATTTCTGAAAGTTTGATGTCAAATTTTCTTCATGCAATATGCATATCTGTTTCACTATGATAATAGAGGTTGAAAAGACCACGTATTATAGTTACTTTAATGCTTCTGTCAGTTACTGCCTGTAATATATCACACATACATGTCTTGAGCTAAAATGATTTACATTCCATTCAGACCAGATATTCAGCCAAACTTCATGTGTTATAATTCAACAATCTAGCCAAGCTCAGACATTATAAGGTAAAGACCTGACAAACTTTTACATTAAATGTTACATTAATAATTAGAAATAAATCAGTAACATCCTAGACATCATCAGAAATCAGCTGCTACTAGATTCTAATGAAATTCAAAAGTTGATTATTTCAATTACGTAAATTCAAAATGATGTAACTACCGTAGTGTTATACAGAACTATTCTTCATCAATGCTTAGTATGTTTCAAAACCATAAAACTGTAGCCCACAATGTTCAGCAAATGTGCTAATTATTACAAGCCTTCCACTAACTTATGTACAAACTAATGTTATCTTTGCATTCAGTAAGATTTGTATTTTATGATGGACACTTGTCTTCAAATAAGTTCAAGGCATGGATGATATAGAGTAAAACCTCTCTATACTGCCTTCAAGGGTCAAGAGTCAAGAAGCTTTATTTAACGTTGCATATACACGTAACATAATAACATTAGCACTGTAGTGCTATTCTTGCGACAAAGAAGCATTGTCTAATATCAGGGTTCAGCACTAACTTTTTCACCTGGTTACTGCAGGTCTACCACAGTTTGACATATGGTAGACCTTCAGAATTCCAGCTTTAAAATCTTCCAAACTGTTAAATTTTAGTTAATTTTAAAATCTAAATGTTTTGTAAGTAAGAAAGTACCAAGTAGTAACCCACTCCATAGCCTATACTCTAAATACTTGATCAGTGAGTTATATGTCTGGATTATGTCTCCCATGCCAAGGATGCTTGTCTTATACTAAATAAACAGGGTATGAGGCATGCCAAAGATTCAAAAGATTAAAAGGAGCAATATATTCATTGTATTTGATGCAGATTACTATTTTAATCAGAATTTCAAAGATGATTCAGTAGTTTTCAACTCAAGCATGAATGAGTTGATCATTCCCATTTTTCATTAGATTTAGTCTAACAGTCCACTGTTATTTCTGAACCAAGAACATATGCCCTCGTTCGCCGTAAAAAAGGCTTTGTGAAAAAGCAGTGTAACTAAGGGAGGTAACTGTAACAAGAGGCATTATCTCAAGGTTTACTGAGGCATTATATCAAGGTTTACTGAGGCATTATATCAAAGTTTACTGAGGCATTGTATTAAGGTTTACTGAGGCATTATATCAAGGTTTACTGAGGCACTATATCAAGGTTTTATTGAAGCATTATATCAAGGCTTACTGAGGCATTATATCAAGGTTTTACTGAGGCATTATACCAAGGTTTTACTGAGGCATTATATCAAGGTTTTACTGAGGCATTATATCAAGGTTTTACTGAGGCATTATATCAAGGTTTTACTGAGGCATTATATCAAGGTTTTACTGAGGCATTATATCAAGGTTTTACTGAGGCATTATATCAAGGTTTTACTGAGGCATTATATCAAGGTTTTACTGAGGCATTATATCAAGGTTTTACTGAGGCATTATATCAAGGTTTTACTGAGGCATTATATCAAGGTTTTACTGAGGCATTATATCAAGGTTTTACTGAGGCATTATATCAAGGTTTTACTGAGGCATTATATCAAGGTTTTACTGAGGCATTATATCAAGGTTTTACTGAGGCATTATATCAAGGTTTTACTGAGGCATTATATCAAGGTTTTACTGAGGCATTATATCAAGGTTTTACTGAGGCATTATATCAAGGTTTTACTGAGGCATTATATAAAGGTTTTACAGAGGCATTATATAAAGGTTTTACTGAGGCATTATATCAAGGTTTTACTGAGACATTATATAAAGGTTTTACAGAGGCATTATATAAAGGTTTTACTGAGGCATTATATCAAGGTTTTACTGAGGCATTATATAAAGGTTTTAGTTTATCAACAAGTTTTAGGTTATATTTTACTTTCTGGTCCTTTTTTGATGACAAATGTCCTCCATACATATAAGAAATTAACTGGCAGCAATAACAACAGCTTTGTTGTAAGTACAGTTTGAGCACATATATCACATCTGTCCAGTGCACACGGCACAGCTACTAGTTAACACTGCTTTAAACACAACAAGAAACCAAGTACAAAGACAAAAGACAAGAAAAAGATGAAAAGGTGGAGGATTGGAGGCAACCAAAATTTGAAGGGAAGAAAAAATGTCACATGTAACAGCAGGATAGAATGGAAGCACCAAAAGTATGCCTATTCTTACCTGTTCCTTTGATATGCATAGATGTCCCTTGATCATTTTTTTTTATCTTTTGCTTCTTGTGTCTTTAAAAGCAAGTGAAAATATGGAAAATAACTGTGTGACAGCTTGAGGGAGTGATGGAACAAAGAAAACAAAAAGCAGAGGACTGGAAGATGAAAACGGCGATCAGCTAACCACATCTAGTAAGCCGCAACAAATAAATGTGTTTACTTTGTTTCCTCCTCGTCTGTTTCGTAGTCCTCTGCTGGATGCGAGCCCCCCTGTCCATTTGATATCTTCGGAGGCACAGGGGGCATTGACGTAGGTGGTCTCGGCCGGCTGTCACCATGGACTGATGATACAGGTGGTGGAGGGGGAGGAGGGTTACTCGATGATTGACGATTTCCATAACCAGATGTGGTCACCTCATTCTGAGAGAGAACAGATGAATTTGAGGATGGTAAAGGTGGAGGGAGTGGGGGAGGGGGTGGAGCAGAAGGGGTGACATCTGCCTTGTTGTTAAGGCGCCGGAGGCTGGCAGCACGGCTCAAAGCAGGAGGTGACAGGGTACCACTACCGGCTAAAACAAAAGGGTCAAGTGAGGCTGTTGATGGTGTGGGTGCAGGTGAGTGTGAGGATACAGAGGTAATTGTGGGCATTGCTATAGGGGGCGGAGGAGGGGGAAGAGGGGGAGAGGGTAGGGAGGAGTAGGGCACTTGTCCTGGACTATGATAGGCACTGGCATTCACTACAGGAACTGTGGGCCGCAGCTATAAACAGAAAATACATCTGTCTGGAAAAACTTTGGAATTCTAGTAATTGGTGCTGAATATGTTTGCTTGTTTCTAGACTCCATCCAAACTAGCCTATAAACACAGGGCATCAATAATCATAATCAGATCCAATTAAGATTCCATGTTTGCATGTCACTCCATGCTAGTTAATAGTATATATATGTAATATTGCTTCATACTTGTTCATTCAGTGATTGATTAATTTACAAAACCTACAAACAGTGACCAAATATTTATTTTAAAATTACGACTTTTTTCCTTTAATTTATTGAAATGAAAAACAAACTCCATTTGAATATCATATAGACTGAAATAATGTAATTAATATTTTTCAACAGTTTAAGATGACAAAAATACAAACCGGACTATAAAACATGACCACACGAAAGTTACAAACAACACACAGATCCATCTCAGGGTGAGACTGTTTTCACCACATCACAAACATGTCAATCTAGACATTTTATCTAAATAAATATCCTAGATTGGGAATGGCACACTTTCAAAATAACATATATATCCCAGATGAATTTCTTGTCAACACCATAAAACTCAAAGCACACTTAAACACCAGGTAAACTCCACATTGGGTACACGCTTACAACTGATTGGTTGGAATATTGCACATGAAGGGTTTAGTCTGCTCACGGCTATGACAGTTCTAGTATACCAACATCAATTGGTAGTTAAAACATCATAATAGAATAGTTTTTGCTGTAAAACAATATGGCCACAAATGTCTTAATGTAGTGCTAATTGTTGAAATAAGTTGGTCTGAAATCCAATTATTCGTTAGTTCATAAATATATGTAAACCAAAGATGAAAAAAAAGAAAGAAAAATGAACACATGCAAGAAGGATAATGTTGTAGTTCTTAATTCTGTTTTATCATGTTTAGTACAAATGTAGTAATTAATCCTGTTTTCTCAACATTGAACAAAGTAAGATGAACAAATCTGCACTAACCAACAACTCATGCAGCATTCCAGGGTTGCTGTGGATACAGTGAACATGCTCTACACAAAGGGAGGTAATTTTAATCTACCTGTGCATCGTGGTGTATGAAATCATAAGAGTTTTCGTTATCTGGGAAAAACCTGCGCTCGTGTGCAGAGGAGTGACGAGGGAGAGAGTAGGACCCTAGCATGTTGCCAGTATTGCTGCTGAACCCATCACCAGCAGCGTATGAAGCATACGAACGGGACTGAAAAATCAAAACTTTTAAATAAGACTGCTTAATGTGTAGTTAAATGTCTCTGTATAAAACTCCTGAATGATTTCATGCAGAGGAATAGCCAACATTATTTCCGGTCTCTCATTTTTTTAACACTTGCAATTGTAATAATGATACATATTCCGTCTTTTTCGTATTGTAGAGTTATCTGCTCTTGTGAACAGGTATTGATTGTTACGTCATTGGTTTGTGAGAGTAACGTCATCAATTTTTCAGAAAACGACAGTATTTTCTCACACAAACCAATGACGTAACAATCAATACCTGCTCACAAGAGAAGATAACTCTGCAATACGCAAAGATGGAATAGTGTGATGGGATTAACATTAAAACAACTTTTTGGTTTCCTTTGATCAAAAATAAAGAAAGTTTTTTAACAAATATGTTTCAGCTATTCCCCAATAATCAGATGATAAAGTACGTAGTTTAACTAAACAGGATTTTGATTTTTTGAAATATTTTAATTTGCCCAATACCCGTTTGTGCCATCCCCCGAAACTACAGGGGTTATGCTCACTTTCGCTCTCTGCATCCCTGGAATATGTCATAGCAAAATTGAAGGCTTTGTTTGCGCCACCTTGTGGATGAGATAAGAAGACTAGTTTGATATTCCTTTCATGTACATCAAAAGAATCTCGCAGTCACAGGATTGTAAAATTTACTGGCTTTAAAGTCGGGTGTCGCTCCTTTATAATCTTCAAAGGCAGGTATCAGCCTGGGATTGGTCAGGTGTTTTTTTACCCGAGGCCAATCAAATAGCTAGCCGTGTGCCTTCGGTTTTGCTATGAGATATTCCAGGGGTGCAGAGAGTGAAAGTGAGTGTAACCCCTGGAATATTGAGGATACATTGGTACGTATCGTTTTCCTAGAAACCATTCACAGAAAATGAAATACAAATGTAGTTTTTTTATTGTATATATCCTAACACAAGTTGATAGAGGTAAATGGAACTAAGACAGATAAGTTGTAAACATTGGAGTTTAAGACTGAACAATTTACAGTAGTTACTGAAGTGACGAGTTAGGTGAGAGGGCTGGCAAAGTGTTGGTCTGAAGGTGAGTATACCTACTGTACATATTCTACACATTGCTATTAATGATGAGATAGTTCTTCAACAATAGACTGAAATCAATGTGAACATAAACATGATAACACAAAGTTACATTCTTATAACAAAACACATGATGAAGTGATCATGCATAAAGCAGTGTTACAATCAATATTAAATATGTAAACTTTAATATCAAATTAAACTGTAGCAGAAATGAAATCAATTAATGATATAAAAACATGTATCAACAATACTTAAACAAATATAAACAAAATTTTAATACAATTGTAATTGTTAATAAGGTCAATCAAGTAAGCAACATACATGTATGTGAATGATCACTAAAAAACTGTTACTGTCAGTCAGTATTAGATATTCTGGCTTTTAAATATGATAGGAATAATAAATATAGCTCTAAAACCACTGCTGAGAGATCATCAGAATCTTTTTTTATGTCTTGAAATTTCTAAATCTAGAAAAGTTAAGAAGTTTGTGAGGTTGAAAACTCAATGCTAAGAAAGATAAGTGATTAAATTTATGATATTATGACAATATCTATTTCTTTCATGAAATATTTTAGTTTTAAGATCAAATTTAATGGCAAACTATATTGGATGACAACTACAACAGTGGTTTCTGGCAGCATGAAATGACCACAAGCTGATAAGATAAATAAGTACACTCCCACCCCACACTCATGGTACCAGGAGGGTCCACAACCATACCATGTACATGTATTGATAAAAAGACCAAAAACAAGGAATTAAAAGTATATTTCCAGAACTTATAAGGTAATGTTACCTGTGTTGGGTTGTTGACAAGCCTCATTCCTGAGGTCTCGTAAACAGACTTAGGACGTCTTGTGGCCCCTGGAACATCCCCGTCAACCAGAAAACTGCCACCATCTGAAAGTGACCTTGTGTCTAGATCACCCATACTCTTTACACGATGACCCATCCTAAAACAGAAAATTAAAAATGACCCAATAATAAGCCAGAAAATTTAAACTATCAGCTTACTGTACTGAACACACATGGATGATTTCAGTGAATCTTTTTCCGCCTTTTTTGTTGAGTTTCCCCACGACATTATCAAGTTTAATGTTTTATTTTTCTCACTTTTCTACATTTTTTTATTTTTGTTTATCACCCTTATTCTACACAAAGACTTTCACATGATCACCTCAATCCATTACCCCGATCCTATATGACTACGTTATTAAGATACAGAATGAGCACATATCATACACTCAGACCTCATGATGTTGAAGTCGTAAGGACCAGAACAAAAATCAAGGATAAATGAGATATTTGATATATCAGAGTTAGTATAAGAGTAATCTGCAAGTGGACCAAATATATAGACTGCCAGCTAAATAATTGGGGCAGAAATTTAAATATTGTATGAAACACTGAGTTGTCTTTTAGCTTCATGTAAGAGGGAATTTCCCTTTAGGTCTTGGTTGAGAAGGTTGCAGTGTTGCTGCTATGATCCCCCCCGACGGAGGCACACTACTCTTTTCCTGTTATAAAAAGAGTCTGTGGACCTCCTGTAGCTATGGGAAGTTGAAACCTGGATTGAAATAGTGTTCTAAGGCAAACACATTTTATATAGGGTAGACTGTAGTGAGGCAGGTTTCAACAGTTCAGAGAACATTGTCGCCTTTTCGCCATGCAGTATTAGACTTGCAGCTGACTGTTGGAAGTATATTATAATTTACACAGTATATTTATAAAGATATCAAAGTTGATAGTAATGCATTTATATTTTAGGTAATGAGGTATAAATGTCTGCAAACAAAAGCTGGTATAGATGTACATACGGCTGTGGTTCTCTCCCAGGCATGTCCGTCATTGGTTCTGTGAAGGACATCGGAAACCAGCCATACCTGTAATATCAGACCAACTTTGAGTGACAAAAACACGCACAATGTTAAATGAAAATTTACAAGATCATACATTCACCAGGTGTTTCATCCTCAACCTTTGAATTTGTTTTTGATCTGGAAGTGTAGGCCGTTTTTTCAGAAAATATCTTGCTGTTTGAAAAAACTTTGTCCAAAACAATTTTTATTTGGATTAACACAGAATACTGTATTTCGCTACACTTCTAAAATAAACAACATTCCGCTGCTTTTATGAATTGTTTAGCAATAGATTGACAACTAACCTGCCACTGCGGTTATTTAGACCATAATGCCATCCCTCGGCAGGCTCTCCTATAAGGTTGATTACGTCCCCCTCTGTGAAGCTGAGTTTACTGTCTCCCTCAGCAGCATGTGTGTAGATAGCTCTCACCTGGGACACGCCTGGGGGAGGGGGAGGCGGTACGCTGATTCCCCGTGATGGTGGCATGGTCCTTGTTGCTGTAAGATAAATGTTCTTCTAAATTCACTTTGCCCTTAGGTCCATTTCATATTTCAGGAGAGGATATTTCACAAATTGATTAAATTGTATCCTATCTCATAACATAACATTTAATTTGTAATCTCTACTCAGTATCACTTTTCAAATGACTGTCCTATCCACTTACAGTCAAAGAGCTCAGAGAAACTGAGATCACAAATGTTAAGTACTTATAATAAGTATGAAGATTCATGTGTACCATATGAGAAATCTCCATTGTAGTCCATCGGGATGCGAGGCCCATCATGATAGCTCCTGGATCTTCTGTAAGGTGTACCTACGGACCGAGTCTCATCAGGCGTATACCCGTTACTGACACGGTATATAGAACCATTTGCATGCTCAAAATCGTCATCCTGCAAGAAAGTAAGAAAATCTAATATGTTAAATCTAAAATGCCCGCGTTTATTTATCTGAAATGCAATCAAGATGGTTAGCATTTGGTCTGGATATGAAACACCTAATAAATCATTCAATGATATACTTTGACCTTGACCTATAACAGGTAGGTATATATCATTTATGAAAGCAAATTTTCAGAACTACAGCTACACTAATTAATTTGAATGGCTTCTTCCTCATACATATACATATACTAGATTTTAGGAGGGACTGATAAGTAATTCACCTTGTGCTTAATGAGAAGTTTTTCCAAGAGGTGGAACCTAAAATACTTCCTAACCTTCCATACACAGTCCTGTCCATGGAGGTGAGTGCATCATGGCCCACGGGTAAGGTTTCATTGATGACAACACTCACCTTCTGTATCACGAGTGAGGTTGTCCCCAGGTTGAAGACAAATAGACAAATACTGTGTATAACATTAGTTGGTAAACCACTTGTATAGGTTTGTAGCGGAACTGGTCTTGGTCATTCATTGGCGACCAGGTAGTTCAGTTAGTAGAGCCTCTGTCTAGAGTTCTGAGGGTCCCAGGTTCGAATCTAGCTCTGGCTGTGCATGTCTCCTGTTATACTGGTGCTGTGACCAACCCTTGTTTTAAGTTTTGAGTGTACATTTAGCAAGGGGATACCCAAACCTGGGTTGTAAATGATGTTGTCTTTGGGCACAAAGACTAAGAACAAGGAAGGAGGAAGGTAGCAGAACCTGGACTGGGTAATTGTCGGTGACCAGGTAGAGCGTTCGTCTACATCACAGAGGGTCCCAGGTTCGAATCTCTGTCTTGCTGTGCATTTCTCTTCTCCTGTTACAGCTAGGTTAAATGTATAACACACTCACCTTGTGCATCACAAGTAGATCAGCTTGAGAAAAATGTCTCATTGGGGACATATACTCACCTTGTGTATCACGTGTTGGTGGGCCCCTAGATGAAATGTGATTTTTGACATACTCACCTTGTTACATAAAGAATAGATCAGCCCCAGGCCATGAGACACAACGTATGGGTGACTTACTCAACTTGTGTATCAGAAGAAGATCAACCCCAGGCCGAGAGTAAAAACTGACAGGTGACTTATAATTACTTACCTTCTGTATCATGAGTAAACGGTCAGCCTCTGGGGGTAAGATGTGGGGCTTAGCTGACAGATGTCGCCAGCTAGGTAATCCCATAGTCAACATCTCTGCTGCCTACAACACATGTCAGCAATATCTAATGCATGATATATGTCCAACTTACGTTTCAAAATTTGCCAACTGAGCTACATTTTTATTTTACAGCTGTCTTCATTAAAAACTTCTTATTCTTTTAATTATTTTGTTACTTGAGAAAATCAACCAGTTAATCAAAAACTGCTATAGGTCAGATTCACAGATGACTTTTTAAATAAGCAGTCAGTTGATTGGTTTGCAATGGTATCTGTGAGTTTTGTTTTAAATTTTACACTTGATCAACTATATTAACATGACCTTTGACCTACTTGTCTGTGATGTGCTGTATTCATACTTGCGATGGTGGACAGTCTGTCTAACAAGAAACAGTGACATTTTCTTTCTTCCAGTAAAGCCTGTTGGTACAAAGATATTAATAAGTAAGTAAAATTTAAAAGGTAAGTAGTATTTAACAGGTAAGTAGAATCTAACGGGTGGAATACTTATCTAAACAAATAGAAACACTTTCTAGGAACCACTTAGTCTCAATAGTAAACATTATCTGAAATCCGTCTGAATTAGAACAATTACAGGTCAGCAAGGGCCCTTCCTTGTGCTGGACTATTTTTAGCAAAAGTGCATGGAGCTTGGAAACTTGTTAAATCCCTATTGCACATCTACATATCAGTGTATCACCATGTCAAATTTAAAAAAAGATTGTTTTTTTCTGATTCTGAGAAAAGGACAGTACTACGAATGGTCTGTTTTTGGTAATGGTGACCTTGGGCTTGACATTTGAAAGTTTTTAAATCTCTATTTTCAAATTTTCTTATCGTAGTGTACAACCATGTCAAATTTCAAAAAGACTTTTTGGATTCTGAGATAAGCCCCCATGGTACATTTTAGTAGCAGTGACCTTGACCTTAAAAACTTGCATCTCCAACTGGGACCCTAATAAATAACAACACAAATACATCCTCAAACTTTATTATATAAGTGACTGTCAAGTGTACTCACAAGTTGTTTCCCTTACATAGGAATGTAGTGAGGGTCATTATCATGTGAATTCGTGCTACAGTATTATAACACTAATTTCTATTTACGAGTTTAATTTCCAGTGTTTGTCTATAAAATTAAGACACAGCTTTATAAAGATATTCATTATGATATTTTTACTAATGTATCTTCTGATAGTGTCAAGTTTTACCACAGACTTAGATAACATCTAACACCTAATCTAATTCCGTGGTTCTACAGTAAGTGAAATTATAACTTAGCCAGTAATAAGCCATTTTTGTGATTGCTGGATCATATTTTTTGAAAATTTTAATAACTTAGATATATCTCAATTGTCTTTGTTTGAATGTGTTTCATATCAGTACACATTTGCTGGAATATATTCACTGTATTTTAGTTGCTCAGAACAAGATCACAAATGACATTGTTCTTCTACTTCTGAATAAATGTTGGACTAAATATACTTCATTACATTGTACCAGCGATTTTCTTTTTATTGACAAGGATGATAACAAGTAATTTTGCTTTAATATTAGAAATGTTAGTATGTATATGCAAGAAAGAGACCAACTTTGTAGTTGAACAAGAGAAGGGCAGTAAACAGGTAGACAAGAAATTGAGTTGGTTGATGGTTCAAAAAGTGGTTCATGACACAGCATCTGGTATCATTACATGTAAAATATTGATACACCAAATTAGAATTCATTCATTAGACAAGCTCATCTTAATCATCTTTACACATAAAACCAACACTCCATAACAAATGTCATGTCATTGTTAAGTATTAAAACAGTAGAAAAATAACCAACAAAATTGTTCAGGAAACACCCTGCATATTTACCACATTATGACAGTAGTAGTTTGATGTGATTTATCACCACATAATTACATCAATTATCAGAATTATTACAACACAATGTCAATAAACAGTTTTGTGGTATTCAGAATACGCTGTACAATGCCTGTGTACTTACCAGCTTTAGACCCTGGATACGGAACTCGTCCAGTTTGTCCTGGCATTTGTTTAAAGTTTTTACATACTGAAACAAACACATAGTTTTAGGGTTGTTGCTAAAATTTCTTTGACTGCAAATTTAAAATGTACATAATGCATAAGTTCTGTAAAATTGTGAAAATATTCAGAGATTTAATAATTATGATTAGAAGTAGTAATAATTGTTTAGAAGAGCCAATTCCTTTAGGATCATACATTATCAGCCCCTCAAAAGTCTTCTATTTGGGCAAACCTCAGAAATTATTAGAGTTTTACCATTGTTTGGAAAACTCGATACGTTATCTGAGAGTTTTCATCTGTATTTTTGATTACTTGTCCTCAACACTGGTAATTACTCTTCCTACACATGAATTTACAATTAAGTGTCTTGTACTCTTTGATAGCATTACGTTAGTAAGAATGTGATCAGGATAAAATCCATTATATAAAAACATCGCATAATGAAAACTTATAAAACATATTTTACACTAAACATTGATTATCTGGTCTCATTTTAAACACAGTAAGTAGTGGTAGCGTTAGTAAAAATAATCATTATTTTTTTTTATACCAAAAGTGACATGATTTATGTTAATTTTATTTGACATTTATTTTACACCAGAATATGTACCTGCCCTTCCTTTTGTTCATCATACACAAGTTTGTTCTTGGTTTTCTTCCTGAACTTTCTGAGGGAGTCATAAGCTTTGGCATAAGGCACGACAACGGTTTTGTGGCCATGGTTGTACTTCTTGTGCTGGCCCTGGGACACAATATAAATACACATGTTATGTCACAGACATACTAATGGCCATGGACGTACTTCTTGTGCTGGACCCGGGTCACAATATAAATACACAGGTTATGACAGACATACTATATATATACATTTATATAGCTAGTGGCCATGGACGTACTTCTTGTGCTGGCCCTGGGACACAATATAGATTATATACACAGGTTATGACACAGACATACTAGTGGCCGTGGACGTACTTCTTGTGCTGGACCCGGGTCACAATATAAATACACAGGTTATGACACAGACATACTAGTGGCCTTGGACGTACTTCTTGTGCTGGACCTGGGACACATTACAAATACACAAGTTATGACACAGACATACTAGTGGCCATGGACGTACTTCTTGTGCTGGACCTGGGACACAATATAAATACACAGGTTATGACACAGTCATACTAGTGGCCACGGTTGTGAATATCAAGTCCACACAAAGGGAATTTCTTGTATCAAGTGGATATAATTCAACTTTTTTACCTATAATATGACCTATTTAACTACTAGCAGCATCAAATTGTTAGATATGTTGAGGGGCTGCGTCGGCCAAGTGGTTAAGGCGTCTGACCGTCTACCAGACGTGGCCGGGGTTGCAGGTTCAAAGCCTGAGTATAGGGCAGTCACCAGGTACTGGCCACAAGCCGGTGGTTTTTCTCTGTACTTTCCAGTTTCCCCCCACCAACAAAACCTGACATGTCCTCAAATGACCATAGCTGTTAATAGGACATAAAACTATAACAAACCAAACCAAATATAGACATAGCAAAATAACACTCAGTTTACTTGGAAACTCTAAATATGTTTATCTAGAGAGAGAGAGTTATATTTCTACACTTAACAGTTATGCAAGATATTTTTGTTTTGTAAGATTAACAAGTCACTAATTTCCTTAATGTAAGATACTCTGAAATGGCTTTGAACCTATCATTATATACTTTGTCTAGCTATATGGTTCCACACATACAATAAAACTTATTGAAATGATATTGAAAGGTCTTTGCTGAATTATCTGGTTCTGTTCTACCTCGGGTAATTAAACAAATTGTCGATTGTCACATATACCGAGATTCCCATTACACAAAGATTTTTTTCAGAAACTTATTGATTATGTTACCTGAAACTCTATTCATCTTAAGGTATTGTTAAAAACACAAACATTCTGTGGCCTGGACAAACTACGAATCTATTAAACGGATATTGGATGGACTACAAATAAAATGTAACTTCATAAAGTCTGCTTGACGGATTTCAGGAATTGTTATGTATGGACTACACATTATAAGTCATTAAACCCTACCCTATGTTGCTTTCAGCAAAGGATATCAAAGAATAATGGATTCAGTGATGGGAATACAATATATTGAAAGGCTACCTTTATAGAGAAACTGCTATATACAAATATAAAGCCATCATCTACATTTTTTAAGGAGAAGTAAGGTGTTACTGGGTTACACAGGTGAGATTCAGTAATCAATATCATCCATTGATCAAAGGTGGTAGATGATACCCCAGTAACTATTGGATCTACAGTTAATTCTACAAAATCAATTACAAATACCACACATCTAGTATCAGTTGGAGAGAGTAAGGTCGCTATATTGACTGGGGCGTAGTCCTTTCCTAACCAGGTAACACCTATAAATGTCAGGAAATGACAGAATGTGTAGGCCGTGCAACAATACGGTGGAATGTGTGGGCCACTCGGTGTAGCGTTTTTATTGGGTATTAGGGGTAATGGTCATGTGATGAAATAAGGTTAAGTGTCCTTTGGCACACATTAAGCCAATATCCTTATTACATTCCGACAGGAAGGAATACCTGTTTCCCTATGTAAACACTCTTGGTCAGTGTGATACGTTGCTGTACTGTACCAGGGACAAACCACTTCATCTAGTGCTACAGACTATTACATCACTTAAGGGCAAACAAGGTTTTGTATTCTAATAAGATTCTTGTCAATACAAATACAATTTACATATATTATATTTGACTTGGTGTATTTGACAAGAAGTGTAGTTGAAGTGAAGTATTTCCCTTTCTCTTCGTTCGTTTTAATTAAATAAAAGGTCCATAGCATACTTGCACATTAACTCTCCCTTCTCTGGTTGAAGACTCCAGATTTTTCACCTTCCTTTTGAAATCAGATGAATTCCCCTTGTCTTTTTTATTTAAAAATTCATTTAATTTCATTGTATAGAACATTAAAACTATCACCTTTAAAACTAGACTTTGCGACAGTGCATTGCTCACCTGGAAACTTCAGCAGGTGATGATATAATTTGTATCAAGGTAATTTATTTTAATATGTTTAAATCCATTCACTCCATCAATGACAGATACAATAGCATCTTTCTAAGCCTCAAGGTTCATTAGAAGAAGTTGTTCGCAGATTTTTAAACTAATGATCCTTACAAACTAATGATCCTTACAAAATTGTTAGTAGATAAATATATTAGAAAACATATGTTAAAGCCCTAGGCTCATAAAAGCTAAACACACCAATACAAAGACACCAAGCTAAACACACCAATACAAAGACACCAAGCTAAACACACAACAGTACAAAGAAATAAAGTTAAACACACACCAATACAAAGACACCATGGCTAAACACACCAATGCAAAGACACCAAGCTTAACACACAACAGTACAAAGACACCATGGCTAAACACACCAATACAAAGACACCATGGCTAAACACAACAATACAAAGACACCAAGCTAAACACTCAAATACAAAGACACCGAGCTAAACATACCAATACAAAGACACCATGGCTAAACACACCAATGCAAAGACACCAAGCTAAACACACCAATGCAAAGACACCAAGCTAAACACACAACAGTACAAAGACACCATGGCTAAACACACCAATACAAAGACACCATGGCTAAACACATGAATACAAAGACACTTAGGCCAAACACACCAATAAAAAGACACAAAGCTGAACATACCCATAAAAGATACCAAGCTAAACACAACAATACAAAGATACCAAGCTAAGTACACCAATACAAAGACACCAAGCTAAACACAACAATACAAAGATACCAAGCTTAGTAAACCAATACAAGACACCAGGCTAAATACACCAATACAAGGCACCAGGCTAAACACAATAATTCAAAGATACCAAGCAAAGTACACCAATACAAGACACCAGGCTAAATACACCAATACAAGACACCTATGCTAAACACTCCAATACAAAGACACCTAGGCTAAACACTCCAATACAAAGACACCTAGGCTAAACACAACAATACAAAGATACCAAGCTAAACAAAACAGTACAAAGACACCAAGCTAAAACAACAGTACAACGACACCAAGCTAAACAAAACAGTACAAAGACACATAGCTAAACACAACAATACAAAGCCATCAAGCTAAACACACAAATAGGAAATAAATTAAATCAAGTTGTATTATATAGGCCACTCTTGCTTATTCTGTAGGAAAAGCAAAATTATTAGATATATGATCAGATATTTACCTAATGTCTGTATAAATTACTTAATAAACAGGTCTAGGTAATAATAGCCTCAAAGGGGCATTTAAATCTTTCCATACTTACCGATGATCTTCGGAATTCATTTTCTAGTTTCTGCTCCAGTGGTAAGATAAGCTCTGAGAATAATGCCTTTGTCTGTAATACAAGGAAAAGTTCATAGTTTTTACCTAGACTTCAGCATTTGACATACACAAGCATTTACTTTGTCATATATCAGATTTAAATGTCTGAGACACACCTTGTAACCATAGTGATGGTGGAATCCTTTCCATTCAATGGCACCCAAAGTTTTATCAGCACTTCCTCATACAGATATGCACAGTTCAGGAGCTTATCCTTTTACCTATAACTGTTTGATGGTACAAAAACTTGTATCGGGAAAACCTCCTACATCTTGGGAAATTTATGTTGCCCTTATTATTAGACATACTGATAAGGGACTGAATCATTTAATGGGTGTTTTTTTCCTCCCAAGAAACTAGAGAGACCATAAACTAGAACGTTTTTGTTGACAAATTTTGATTTGTTAATATGTTATTAAATATGAATACATTTAACAGTACAGAGAATAGATTTAAGCTGCAGATGAATAACCAATGGGATCACTATTTCTTTATGTAATCAACACTTTCAGACAAAAGTACACAATAATCTATACATTTCTCAATGTAATCAACACATTCAGATAATATTGCATACAAATATTCTAGTTTCTATACCTAATCCACAGATTTATACAGAGGTAAATACACATACTGTGTCAAGTGGTTTTCAAATGATGCTGGTTACTTATCATGCATGCTTCTCTCAACTCGAGTTACTTAATTGTCAAATTACACAAAGACACCATGTTTACTGAGAGTGTTTTATAATATGAAATTTAACTTACGAGAATTAGATAAACATGGTTACCGACCAGCACAAGGTTTGAGCCGTTTTTCTCAGATAACGTTCATATCATATCAAGAAAACCATATTTTTATCTTTAAATACAAGATTTGTGTTTCTCACTACTAAGGAAACCATTAATATGAACTATGACATCATAGTGGAATATGCGAGTACAAAGCATTGTTACATTACGTCAAAATCAAAAGACAGGCCGATGAAATCACGTCTTGGGTGTTACCCACTCATTGACAACCAGAGATGTTTACCTACTCCTAACAGGTTTATCTGATGAGTCAGAAGTGTGGAAATCAAAAGCGGTTGTGGAGAAATACAAACTTAGTAGATATGACTTCTATTTATATTCTACTTTAGTTTGAGAAATACAAACTTAGTAGATATAAATTATATTTATATTACAATTTAGAATATCTTAAGTGTTAAATCCCTGTCACACCTTTGTTTTTGGACATGACCTACAATATGAAAATCTTTGGCAATAGTAGATATCTATACCTATATCAGTACTGCTTTGTTTTTCATGAATACTCCAACATTTATACCCAACATGACATTTTAAAATATGTTGTAATAGCTATAGACTATACTAAACCAAACAAGGCCATGTGAACTGTGAAGCCATATTATAACATAATATGATGTAGATATGTATTAGATCATATTGCTTTGTGTTTGTATTGTGTGAGTTCTGAATCTGGCAATTTAGGACTTCCCACCCTTCGTAATACACATGTTTTTCTTGTCATATTTTCGCGTCGTCATTTCCATATTGCGTATCGGGCATTCCATTACCGTAAATTATAGTAACACAGGGTAAACAATAGTACAAGTGCATGACGATGATATGTCAACACCCGATATCGAGACTTAACATGGAAATGTGTAACCACACAAACTTCAGAAATAAAGCTTATGATACAAAGACATTAATTAACTCACGGAAAGACACTGACATAAGTGCAGACGACTTCAAGAAGGTCGTAAATGAGGCACATGGAATGCAGACTGATGTGTTTTGTTTACCGACCTCACCTGTACATATCACGTGCTAACAGTAGTTCACAAGCTCTGGGTCGCTACGACTTTTGTTGTCGAGCGAGTTACGCGAGTTACGCTCTGTGAGATAAATCATTTCACAAATGCAATTATAATAACTCTGTGAAAATAGTGGTTTGTAAGATATCAAGATCGGAGAAAATGGTAGCAAGAAGAAACGCAAGAAAAGACCACTTGACCCAGCCGTTAAGGAAGCCTCGAAAACTAGCAAGAAGGCATGGCGGACATGGAGACTACATGGTCGCCCCTCCAGCAGACAACACCCTGCAAATATAGCAATGCGTCAAGCAAAGCAATCTCTTAGAAAGATCCAGAGGAAACAGGCTTGTAATAAGCAAATAGAAAAAGTCACCAACATCATGGCTTCAAAAGGAGACCTGAAGACCTTCCACAAATTGGTTAAGCTCAAACAGTCCACAA